TAATTTACATTTATAAGTTTGAAGCGAGTTTTTTGTTTCCAGTCTATGTTTTTTTGCACTTAGTGGACGTTTATTAATTTATTTACAACGTTTGAATTCTTAAACCTGATGGCCTTGGCCATTTTTTTGCTTCATGCACTTATTCGTCTTCTCCGCGCAGAATCTTAAAGCAAAATGCTGCTGTTGTTTCTTTTTACTGTCCTATTAAATCCTGGTGTTAATTGTGAGACAATTTACTCTAACTCTTATGACATAATATCACCTCCTGAAATTCATCACAATTTGCAGAATGTTTTCGACGATGACCTGGATTCTTCATCAAATGTGTATATCCAAACCAATCGATCATTTACATTGGCCATTGAGCTTCAAGAAGAATGTCTTATTCATTCTGTCTCCATTTTAAGTAAGAATGATCTTTAATAGGCCTCACTTATGAAAATCAGCGGATCACAGCCAAAAATTTTTATTTCATAAAGTTACTTCTCTATTCCCTATATTTTTATTGCTACGTATGAATTTGTTTTTGCATGTACTAAGCATGCGACACTTTGGTGTTTTTGCAGCTGAACATAGTAATAACACAGCTCAAGAAATTGAAGTGGGTTATAAAAACACGAACGGGAGGCAGTCTATAAAGTATTACTGCAGACCTTCGAGTGGTGGCTATGTTTGCCAATTTCCCTGCACCGTTGGAAACGGCCCCGTTTCTTTTGCTGGCAAATACATTTTTTGGACAATGAGACAAGTGGGCAAAAGTGCATGGACTCGTGTAAATGGGATTTCAGTGCAAGGATCTTTTATCAGAAATGAAAACATGGATAAAAGTAAAGGTTAGTTTGGACACTTCTTAGCAGATTAGGTGATTGCACGTTGGAGCCAGCAGAAATTATTATTAATTTTGCTTTTAGTTGATGTAGTATTCCAGAAGCCATTCGCTGTCCAAGATATTTTGGTGGATGATAAAGCATTCTGTGATGGATATTACTGGAAACTTTTGGATAAATCTCCACCTAGACATACATATGAAGAACCCAAAAACCTGACAGTGTATTTTGGTGGAAATTATATCCTAAAGGAGTTAAAGCTCGTTCTCCTCTCAAAAAATAAGGAGGAGTTTGGTAAGAAAATTGCAACATTATTTTCCTAAAGCCTATTAAGCGTTTGAACGTATTATGACAATATTTTTTGTTAATTTTGTCTAATTAATCGTTTTTTTGTTCCTACCTTTCTAATCCATAGAACGTGAAAGGATATTGACTGATTTCCTTCTAGGGTACTTTTATGATTGTTAATATGTACGGACAAATTAATTGTCAGAACTGCAAATAGGTGTTAACCGGCGGATGACTTATGTTAAGTTGTGTGTATCAGCCTCTACAATTCCTGATTACACACATTGTTTTGGCATTTTGGCTTCTATTATAAAGGCAGGTGTACATGTTCTTGTTAGATTTTTATTTTGGATCCATCAACATCCGAGGTGTGAAAGTTAACGTGAATGACGACTGTGACCGAAAAGATGATTTTGAGGACTTGAAGCACTACAACTGTAGTCTTTCTTCTCTTGGAAATCTACCACTCGATCAAATTAGATTTTCCACTGACAACATCAGCAAATTGTCAATCTCTGGGATTCCAGGTAAGCTCATCTCTATGAATCTCTCAAATTTAAGCTAGGACATTTTTACAACTTGCTATTTCTAAAAATTAAGCTCCATTTTATAAATAAAACCTAAAAAAAGTGTGAGACCTAAACGGGTGATATGCCACAAAATGCATAGCTTATTTCTACTTTATAGGAAGGTTTAATTGACATAACGGCCAGTGAAGGGTAAAGAGCGCAGTGGGTGCGCAAGGTTAAATGCCAAACAACAGTAGGCAAATTTAGTCTTTCCGAATGTAAATTGGAAGACGGCTGGCGTCAGTATTGGTGCAAGGTCTTAATGTGATTACGCCTTTTGTGCTACTAAAATTTACAAGCTGCTTGAGTTGTGTTTATTTCCGGTTGTACTGACATTTTCAAACACTCAAACGCCCTTGAAAGCGCTCACTTGGACAATTCAAAACAAATAAAGGCATTGTTTAAGTAGAAGAGCTTACTTGAGAGGTGTTACATTATTTTGTAAATAGTATGTCCATCTGCACCATGCAGTTTACTATTTTCCACATATAATTCGCTAACTTTAGCCCTAATTCCTCTCCAACTACGCTGAGTGTTCTGTGATATCTGACGGATGGGTTTATAGTAGGCCACTTAACTAATGCATTTGGAAAAATTCGCATAAAAAGAGGAGTAGATGTGGAAATGGATATCAAGTTGCACAGAATTTCGGGTTTATTGCAAGGCTTGATTATAAAGAAAAGGTCACAGATGCTGGCTAAGACAGTAAGCCATTCGAAGTTACCTTTGCAACAATGTAGAGAAACGGAGCCCATATTCAGATGTGCGAGGATGAATTCCAACTCACTCTAGGTCAGTGGTATCATAAGCCTTACAGAGTGCTGCACTGAGGAGAGAGCACTCAGCGAAGAATTTCAATACGAGGTGCAGTCAGCGAAATAAATGTTTCAGAGCACGCCGTATGCGCGTGCAGGTTTTTGATAAAGGAAAAGTTGACAGAAGCGTTCACTGAAGATTAAGCAAAAATGGGCAAGGAATTTGACTCCTCTGATAGCTATTGTAAGAACAGACGAAAAGCGTCGTTGGAGGCCAAGATCGAGAGTGAGAAACTGTCCGCCATAGGTGCGGATAGCTCTGCCGTTGCTGTCCAAAGGTGTCTAGTACAAATAGCTGAAAGTGAACTTGACAGCAGTAAAGCAATCTTGCAAGCAGTATATTCAGGGCGCTACTCCACTAGTTGAACCTGCATAGCACAGTGCTGCTGACAAAATAAGGCAATTCTTGCGTAGGCTAATTGCAATGTAGTAATGACTGCCCCAAGGCATTGAAATTTGATTTTCCAGGAGCAAACTCAATGCTCATATAGGTTTGCAGGAAAACGCTGAGCCTTGATTTTGAATACCGAATTCAAGTTCAGGTTTTGTTTGGAAAAACTAGGACGGCGATTATACAAAAGCTCTTTTTTTTAAAAGTATTCTAATTGTTTATTTATTTTTGCATGGATGTTGATGAGTTCTGATTCCTTGGAGGAGCATTTGAACGGTTCTAAAATTGTTTTATAATGGAGCTTGATGACCAAAGATGTTGTGCACAATAAGTGAACTGTTAATGGATGTGCTGCAATAAATTACCTTCTCTTTCTCTACGGTTTGCTGGATAGAACTTTCAATAATGCGGTTTATATAAAATTACATGACTTTATAGTTCTCTTGCATAGCTGTTTTTAAAATAGTTATGTACATTTCCCCATTGTTGCTGGTTGTTAATGCATCCAAGGAAATGAGATGTTAGTGGTTGCACTGATGCACGGGAAAACTTGAAAGGAGTTAGCATTTCGTAGTGAAAATGTTAACTCCGTAGCCTTTTTAAAGAAACTGCTTCCTTCGCAGAGTAAAGTCATTCACTAACCTAATTTCTGCACAGTCGTCTTAAATGCTTCCATTCTGTAAACTGCATACATGCAAGAGGGCCTGAAATTCCTCGAACGTGGAATGTGTCTGCGCATCTGAAGGAGTGCGACTCGATGGCGAGCTTTAATACTATGAACTAGTTTGTCGGAATTCGGGGCCTTCATGTTGTGCCTGGCCACACTAATTTCCCATCAACATCCAGTTTACCACGATAGAGAAGCTTCTGCATAAGCAGCCCTCATAAGTCGGCAAATACACCCATGCGGTGTTATTGCATGCCTCCGCGTAGCCTTCAGACCACTTTTTGTGCCCCTATTTTAACACGCTTACTACCATTATCTCTACTTCCTTTATTATATGGGTCCAACATCACAAATGCCCGGCATTTGTTTTCCATCACATTATTACAACTGCCGTTATGCCTAATCGTGGGGCCATTAAGATTTGTTGAATTTAAAGCAATAAATTGGACACCAAGCATACGTTTTCTAATTCTTAAGTAGGATTGCAACTTTCATGCACTTATTCGTCTTCTCCGCGCAGAATCTTAAAGCAAAATGCTGCTGTTGTTTCTTTTTACTGTCCTATTAAATCCTGGTGTTAATTGTGAGACAATTTACTCTAACTCTTATGACATAATATCACCTCCTGAAATTCATCACAATTTGCAGAATGTTTTCGACGATGACCTGGATTCTTCATCAAATGTGTATATCCAAACCAATCGATCATTTACATTGGCCATTGAGCTTCAAGAAGAATGTCTTATTCATTCTGTCTCCATTTTAAGTAAGAATGATCTTTAATAGGCCTCACTTATGAAAATCAGCGGATCACAGCCAAAAATTTTTATTTCATAAAGTTACTTCTCTATTCCCTATATTTTTATTGCTACGTATGAATTTGTTTTTGCATGTACTAAGCATGCGACACTTTGGTGTTTTTGCAGCTGAACATAGTAATAACACAGCTCAAGAAATTGAAGTGGGTTATAAAAACACGAACGGGAGGCAGTCTATAAAGTATTACTGCAGACCTTCGAGTGGTGGCTATGTTTGCCAATTTCCCTGCACCGTTGGAAACGGCCCCGTTTCTTTTGCTGGCAAATACATTTTTTGGACAATGAGACAAGTGGGCAAAAGTGCATGGACTCGTGTAAATGGGATTTCAGTGCAAGGATCTTTTATCAGAAATGAAAACATGGATAAAAGTAAAGGTTAGTTTGGACACTTCTTAGCAGATTAGGTGATTGCACGTTGGAGCCAGCAGAAATTATTATTAATTTTGCTTTTAGTTGATGTAGTATTCCAGAAGCCATTCGCTGTCCAAGATATTTTGGTGGATGATAAAGCATTCTGTGATGGATATTACTGGAAACTTTTGGATAAATCTCCACCTAGACATACATATGAAGAACCCAAAAACCTGACAGTGTATTTTGGTGGAAATTATATCCTAAAGGAGTTAAAGCTCGTTCTCCTCTCAAAAAATAAGGAGGAGTTTGGTAAGAAAATTGCAACATTATTTTCCTAAAGCCTATTAAGCGTTTGAACGTATTATGACAATATTTTTTGTTAATTTTGTCTAATTAATCGTTTTTTTGTTCCTACCTTTCTAATCCATAGAACGTGAAAGGATATTGACTGATTTCCTTCTAGGGTACTTTTATGATTGTTAATATGTACGGACAAATTAATTGTCAGAACTGCAAATAGGTGTTAACCGGCGGATGACTTATGTTAAGTTGTGTGTATCAGCCTCTACAATTCCTGATTACACACATTGTTTTGGCATTTTGGCTTCTATTATAAAGGCAGGTGTACATGTTCTTGTTAGATTTTTATTTTGGATCCATCAACATCCGAGGTGTGAAAGTTAACGTGAATGACGACTGTGACCGAAAAGATGATTTTGAGGACTTGAAGCACTACAACTGTAGTCTTTCTTCTCTTGGAAATCTACCACTCGATCAAATTAGATTTTCCACTGACAACATCAGCAAATTGTCAATCTCTGGGATTCCAGGTAAGCTCATCTCTATGAATCTCTCAAATTTAAGCTAGGACATTTTTACAACTTGCTATTTCTAAAAATTAAGCTCCATTTTATAAATAAAACCTAAAAAAAGTGTGAGACCTAAACGGGTGATATGCCACAAAATGCATAGCTTATTTCTACTTTATAGGAAGGTTTAATTGACATAACGGCCAGTGAAGGGTAAAGAGCGCAGTGGGTGCGCAAGGTTAAATGCCAAACAACAGTAGGCAAATTTAGTCTTTCCGAATGTAAATTGGAAGACGGCTGGCGTCAGTATTGGTGCAAGGTCTTAATGTGATTACGCCTTTTGTGCTACTAAAATTTACAAGCTGCTTGAGTTGTGTTTATTTCCGGTTGTACTGACATTTTCAAACACTCAAACGCCCTTGAAAGCGCTCACTTGGACAATTCAAAACAAATAAAGGCATTGTTTAAGTAGAAGAGCTTACTTGAGAGGTGTTACATTATTTTGTAAATAGTATGTCCATCTGCACCATGCAGTTTACTATTTTCCACATATAATTCGCTAACTTTAGCCCTAATTCCTCTCCAACTACGCTGAGTGTTCTGTGATATCTGACGGATGGGTTTATAGTAGGCCACTTAACTAATGCATTTGGAAAAATTCGCATAAAAAGAGGAGTAGATGTGGAAATGGATATCAAGTTGCACAGAATTTCGGGTTTATTGCAAGGCTTGATTATAAAGAAAAGGTCACAGATGCTGGCTAAGACAGTAAGCCATTCGAAGTTACCTTTGCAACAATGTAGAGAAACGGAGCCCATATTCAGATGTGCGAGGATGAATTCCAACTCACTCTAGGTCAGTGGTATCATAAGCCTTACAGAGTGCTGCACTGAGGAGAGAGCACTCAGCGAAGAATTTCAATACGAGGTGCAGTCAGCGAAATAAATGTTTCAGAGCACGCCGTATGCGCGTGCAGGTTTTTGATAAAGGAAAAGTTGACAGAAGCGTTCACTGAAGATTAAGCAAAAATGGGCAAGGAATTTGACTCCTCTGATAGCTATTGTAAGAACAGACGAAAAGCGTCGTTGGAGGCCAAGATCGAGAGTGAGAAACTGTCCGCCATAGGTGCGGATAGCTCTGCCGTTGCTGTCCAAAGGTGTCTAGTACAAATAGCTGAAAGTGAACTTGACAGCAGTAAAGCAATCTTGCAAGCAGTATATTCAGGGCGCTACTCCACTAGTTGAACCTGCATAGCACAGTGCTGCTGACAAAATAAGGCAATTCTTGCGTAGGCTAATTGCAATGTAGTAATGACTGCCCCAAGGCATTGAAATTTGATTTTCCAGGAGCAAACTCAATGCTCATATAGGTTTGCAGGAAAACGCTGAGCCTTGATTTTGAATACCGAATTCAAGTTCAGGTTTTGTTTGGAAAAACTAGGACGGCGATTATACAAAAGCTCTTTTTTTTAAAAGTATTCTAATTGTTTATTTATTTTTGCATGGATGTTGATGAGTTCTGATTCCTTGGAGGAGCATTTGAACGGTTCTAAAATTGTTTTATAATGGAGCTTGATGACCAAAGATGTTGTGCACAATAAGTGAACTGTTAATGGATGTGCTGCAATAAATTACCTTCTCTTTCTCTACGGTTTGCTGGATAGAACTTTCAATAATGCGGTTTATATAAAATTACATGACTTTATAGTTCTCTTGCATAGCTGTTTTTAAAATAGTTATGTACATTTCCCCATTGTTGCTGGTTGTTAATGCATCCAAGGAAATGAGATGTTAGTGGTTGCACTGATGCACGGGAAAACTTGAAAGGAGTTAGCATTTCGTAGTGAAAATGTTAACTCCGTAGCCTTTTTAAAGAAACTGCTTCCTTCGCAGAGTAAAGTCATTCACTAACCTAATTTCTGCACAGTCGTCTTAAATGCTTCCATTCTGTAAACTGCATACATGCAAGAGGGCCTGAAATTCCTCGAACGTGGAATGTGTCTGCGCATCTGAAGGAGTGCGACTCGATGGCGAGCTTTAATACTATGAACTAGTTTGTCGGAATTCGGGGCCTTCATGTTGTGCCTGGCCACACTAATTTCCCATCAACATCCAGTTTACCACGATAGAGAAGCTTCTGCATAAGCAGCCCTCATAAGTCGGCAAATACACCCATGCGGTGTTATTGCATGCCTCCGCGTAGCCTTCAGACCACTTTTTGTGCCCCTATTTTAACACGCTTACTACCATTATCTCTACTTCCTTTATTATATGGGTCCAACATCACAAATGCCCGGCATTTGTTTTCCATCACATTATTACAACTGCCGTTATGCCTAATCGTGGGGCCATTAAGATTTGTTGAATTTAAAGCAATAAATTGGACACCAAGCATACGTTTTCTAATTCTTAAGTAGGATTGCAACT